AAACTCCCTAAACTTACTCAACCTAGCTGGTGAATAATGAAGAAACATAATTGCGTTCTCTATAGCATTAATCTAAGACTCAAGTTCCTTTAGCCCATCCTTAACAATTAAGTTAAGGATGTGACATGCACATCTCAAATGCAAGAACTTGCCTTCAAACGTCAATGTGTTCTCACTTTTGAATCTTTTTTCTCGAGTAATCAATTGATGTGTCCTTTGAAGAAGCATTATCGACTACTATAGAAAATACTTTGTCTATCCCCCACTCTCCTAAACAAATCTCAACCGCCTTGCCAATTTCTTCCCTAACATGACTAATGATTTTTGTAAAATTGATTATTCGATCTGTTGTGCAACTTCCACTCACTATATAAAAAATGAGTTGTGACAACAATATAATTAATGTTCTGAATTGATGTCCAAGTATCGGTAATGTTATTTCATCAATAACTACAAACTCGGTAAGTTTCAACTCACACCACTTTTGATTAAAAGTATGAGGAATCAATGCATTTACATGTCCCATCATCTCATTCGTGAGCACATATTGACTTTTGTCACTCCCCTTCATATAAAGGACTTGTTTTGCATCTCTTTAAGTAATTTTTAAACCACTCGTACTTCCCTAGTTCCCCGGACAGCTGGAATCTCAGTCTTAGAGTGATTGCATATTCCAATATTGAGTGCTCCCATCCACCAACGACATTGAACCTTTAGCACAATGTTGCCAAAAAATACTCATCGTTTTAGGTGCTACAAGAGGTTTTTGTGTTAAAAATTCACTTGATCGCTTCCGACTAGAATTGTCGTTCTCTGTTTCATATTCAAGGGTAGCCAGTGATTCAGCTGGACTTCTCGCAATAAGTGAGATGATTCAGATTCCATTAATAATGCTGAAATTTAAATTCAACTAATACCATGTCAATAAATTCTGAAAAATTACCCCTGCTTATCTCTATAAATGTCTCTCCCTCTTATCAAAATCAATTGATGTTATCAACTTCATATAGTCAGAGAGTGTGTGGCAACTAATAGTTTAAGACATGCATACAAAAATAAAGATATGATGACTTGAATGTTTGCTAGGTCACAAGAATCATCATACAAAAACTAAAATTTGCATAAAACATTATGCAAATTATAAATATGGACGTGCCAAAATTTAATATCACAGGAGAAAGTAATTCTTAGATTTTTTTTCTAATTTGTATTAATTAAAAATAATTTTAAACACAAACACACACACACACACACACACATAAAGTAGCAGTGGTGCTATAGTAATTGGAGGGAAATTTGCCGTCCAAAATAAGGACAAAAATGTAAATTTATGTATCATAAAAATGTAATCCGGCTAAACACTATTATTACTCATATAGGTAAATAAGGTAATGTAATTAATGCCCACTGAAAGTGAAAGTGCTAAACCTACGGTTATTACAAATTTATCAAACTTATTTTACATAATAATGCCGACCAAAATATCTTCTCAATTATTACATACTATGTACAAAGTTACCACAACTGTTTTTGGTTCCATACGAAGTGCTACTTTACATAGTGTAGTTTTTTTATCATCAAAACAAGCCTCTATTTATATCAAAAGATTCAGGATTATTACATCAAGCAAAGGGAAAATAAAACTGGCACCAATTGAAACTCCAACAACTACGACTGTAACCCTATGGTGAGACTTTGAAACGATCACCCCTGAAAGAGCAACACGAATCGCTAACCATCAGTGGCGGAGCCAGAAGTCTATAGTTAAAGGGGCCGGTTCTTGAAAATTTTACTTTGTAAGGGCCAAAGTTTAAAATATCAACATATTTTCTATAGATTAAACGTATTTATACATAATATATACTTAAGAATTTTTTTCCTTGCAGGGGCCGAGGCCCCCTCCAGCCCCTCCCTGTCTCCACCCCTGCTAACCATGTAGTGGGCTTGACATAGCCAAACATGTTCCCATAGATCCAACCATACCCAATGACATAAAGAGATGCTAAAAACTCAAACAAATTGTCAAAACCAACAACGAACAAAGATGAACACAAGAAAACAAATGACAAACAGATAAAAATTACTAGGAAAACTTTCACGGACTCTAGCACCTCGTACAACCCATGGTGGTGGTTCAGGCGGAGGTCAGCCCGTCGCTCGATTGACACCCTTTTTAAGTGGCGTACCCGCCGTATGACCCAAATGCATGCCATCGAATGGAGCGCTCAGCCTCTCCACGCTGACCATGTCCTGATCATCCATACATCTCTCTCTCGCTTCTTCCACCATCTTCTCGCTGCCACGATCGTCCATCCCGAGCTACGTCCAAACCATGGCAATCCGGCGTAGTGCTGCGTCGATTGAAAGAAACGACGCACCAGGGCAGCGAAGTAAAAACCCTACGCGAGAGATGTCGCTAGGTAAACACTGACCGAACTTCGATCAAGAAAGATCGAAATCGGAAATTACCTAGCGGCGGCTCTGCCCTATGAGCTCTCTACTTTACATAGTGTAGTTATGGCTCCATCTTTGCTATCAAATGAATTGGTAATAAGCTATTGTGGTAATTAATTAAATTCCATTTAATGCACAATCAAACATACATATTTCATATATCAAGCATATGGATGCAATCTTCCAAAAAAAATATGAATGCAACCAGCATTATGGATCCCAAACATAGAATGGCCATACACATATTTTAGGATAGGAAATTTAATTTAATCTCTACACAAATACAAAGTAAAAAATTGCTATAATTTTTTACGCCAACGTTTCCGCTTAGAATATAAATCTCTACCACATTAGATATCAAACTTAACATATTCTCCTTTTAATAATAATAGACGAATAGTAATAATGATGTTTTCTTTTGAACTGTTTTCAGTCTCAGACGAGACCAGACCAGATCAGACCAGACTTCAATAGTTATAAATTACACAAAGACCATACATTTACCAGACCAGATCAGACCAGATCACACCAGACTAGACCAAATCCAAACAAACCAACAAATTTCAGTCCAAAAGAAAACATCCTAAGAGTGGGTAGCAACAATAACAATAGTAATAATAGTAATACTAAAATATAGTCATTATTTAATCAATAAAATATATTTATATAATTTAAATATATTTTAATATATATTAATTAATCGATTAATAAAATGTCATTATTCAATTAATAAAATATACTCCGTATTATACATTTTTTAATTCAACCAATTCAACCATTTTGGCCAGAGCTTTATCAAATTCAGCAGAATCAATCGATTCGGTCAATTGAACAATTTTTCAAATTTTTGCTATTAAAAACAAGACACCCATTTAGATTTGATTGCTTAGTGTATTAAAATTGTATAACTTTTCGATATTTTCTTACGATAATCATTATTTTTATAATTAAGGTAGGATTTTTTCCCGCCCAATGAAAGCAATAATGGTTTTGCATATGAAACTATGATATGACATTGATTTTGAAACTTTCTCAATATAGCTGACATTAACTTTGGAGACGTTGTCATGTTATCACTTCAACAAATTGAGACCATGGTGCAGTTGTTCACATTGCAAAGCGGATGAATTAAAAAGTTTCTCAACTTTGGTGTTTAAAACATGAAATGAAAATATTGAGAATGTTAGAGATGGAGATGTTTTCATTGATATACCCGATGATATATTTATTACCACTTAGATGTCTCTGATATATTTATTACCACTTAGATGTCCCTATTACTTCAAATGTTCCTAGCATGTATCCATCATTTCTGGAGAATATGATTAATCTATCATATTTTCAGCAAATGTCTATTTTTGATGTTGAAAAAATGATGTTGTTGAGATTATCAATATGTATATGAATTCACTTTTGTAAGTAGAAATAAAAACATATTTGAGTTTTGATAGTCCATGTTCATTTCAAGGCAATATTGACGCAGAATTCGATAAAGTGCATTTTGGAACACCATCAAAAGTTTATGGGATATCAAACCATAAATTTGGAATATAGGTTGAGGTTCTTATTATGCTAATGAGAAAAATGAAAAATCATCTAACTTATGTTTTGAAGACGATGGTATATCTGGCAAAAATATTGACCAAGAGATTTCAATTTCAAGGTTATCACTCGTCTAATTGAAAATCACAATTCCTTCAAACTTCAATGCAATCAATTATCAATCATCATTTCATTTTCCACGATAATAAATTTAAGCCAATTACAATCAATGCATTATAGCATATATCTACCAAAATTTGTTTTTTCGCACAGTCAATTGTACAATGTCATGTCAAGAGTCACCTCAAGAAACCAGTTGTGCATTGTCATGTCAAAGGTCACCTCAAGAAGTGAGTTGAATATATTTTTTATATGTGATTAAGAGGGTCGTGTTATCAACATTACTGATAATATGATCTATAAAGAACTTTTCAAAAAGCTATGATCCTTTTTGTTCAGTTCCAACATATATGACTATTTATTTTCGTAAAGCTTCCTTAGAGCCATCAAAGGAGATACTTAAATTGTAAAATCGTGATATTTCAAAATCAAGTAGTACTTATTATTACACCTTACATTTTATTATAAATTTACTTTCAATTTTCAGTACGACCAACATGCATTTTCCTTTTACTTACAAAATGCCATTATATAATCAAAGTCACAACATATAACCTCTACTATATGTTTTCATTTAAAATAATTTTATATTACCAACCATAATAATAAAAGTTTAGTTTAAACAACTTATAATACTTTTCTTACCCATACATGGCACGAGTATTACGTCTAGTAATAATTCAAAGTTCCAGTTGAAACAGGCTTGAACACAGACCAGATTGAGAAGCTTCAGCAGTGCTGGGTATCTAAATGTTTTCTGCCCATATTCCTTCGGTGGGCTATTTACAAACTTATGGCCCAAGTAGAACTTCACATCCACTATCCAAACCTGCAATTTGCCTCCTTGGGATACTTCTATCTGATTACCTCTCCCAGCGAAAACAGAAAAAATGGGTACAGAGAAGAATAAACACAGAAGAAGCTCGGAACATTATTCTTCGCAAGAAGGTCCTTCCCTCTCACGTCTTTTCCTTCCGCAATGTTTGGTGGTTTCGATTTATAATTTAAAAATTCGTGTACTATTTTTGCGATGTGAACAGATGAAGTGAAAAGGAAACGGCATAAAAGAGAAGAAGGCGATAAAGAGGAAAGAAGAGAAAAGAAGAAAGGCAGTTCCAGAAAGGAGAAATCTCATACGTCTTCAAAACACCGTTCTGATAAAGGTATAGTTTATACCTCCTTTTTGTGAGGTGGATATCATTTACTCATTTAGGTCTTATTTGAACGCATATTTGTTTTCACAGTGTTTTATATTTGAATTATAAGCTGAAATAATCTGATTTATGCAGCATAGTGCATGTCTTATATTTTTCTTTTCTACAATTGGAAATTGCAATTACAATTTGTTACCTGTCATCATCCATAGACCATAAATTGCATAGAGATGATTATGATAGGTGGACAGGTAGATTATTTATAATGTAGCAAGTGATACTATTTAAAACTGCAAAGTGAAATGAATTCTTGAGACTGAAATAGAGTCCTGGGTAATCAACTATTGCTATGCATAGAAAATTTGAACCAAAGTGATACATAAGCAAAGGAGATTGGCTTCGTTTGGAATATAGTGCTCTTTGGCAGCGAAGGTTGACTTACCTGCAGCTTTAGCTGTATCCATTGCGTGAATGCCTTCATACGCTGATGGTATTAAGTTATTAACCCTTGCTTGGTTTAGGCGTACACAGTCTCCTCAGCTCTGCTATTCTTTTATTTTTCTTCAGAGTCCATCTTTGTCCATTGTTATTTACAGTTATACAGTTATAATCCCTCCGTCCCAAACTCTGTCGCAAAAACCAAATCTGATCATGATAAAAAAAATTGATACGTACTATCAGTGAATAAAAATGAATTGATTTGACTGATGAATCCTAAAATTACAACATGATATTGGACAGACCGACAGAGATAGTGTATCTCTGAAGTCTGTAATGAATTATTATTTCTAAAATTTATATGGGCAGAAATTGTGTAAGATAATTTTCATGTTATGATTTAATCTAATTTTTTCATAATTAATGGTCCTAGGTAACTAATTTTGACCCCGAAAGTTGAAACAAGAACTTTAAGTACGGATAGAAGGAGTTTATGTATATACTTCCTCTGTTCGGTTTTAAGTGCAACATGCACTTAGGCACAGAATTTAAGTAGCAATGAAAAAGGGTTGAACTTGACACTTTTACTCTTCATTATACGGAACTCACAGCTGCCCAAATAAGTGCTATAGTTTGTAATATTGCACAAAAGCATTACATCCAAGAAAGCAAACAGTACGTAAGCACCATTGTACTCCTCAATTATGCAGTATACTTGCGAGGTCAAAAAAAAAATAGGAATAAGAGCACGAGGGTCGGTGCTGAGAAACGATAGGTAAGATGATTTTCGCAGCCTACTTTCCCTTTTAGAAATGGTCCATCGAAGTACATGTAACTCTTCAAGTTCTGAAATGGACCGTCAAAGCCGGTTACAAACAATTCCAAGTGGAATCAGATTCCCTGGCCTCTCGTAATCAACTCAAGCATCAACTCCAAGTCTCAAGCATATTCTCTTAACGGGAGCAAAAATCAGTTTCATCTACATCCATATCTTCCATTTCGGCGGTAATTAAAATACAAATCGGAGGAAAAAATCAAAGATGAAGATGATAGGGAAAGAAATAGAGAAATGGCTTAGTAGGTGATGAAAGTCGATGATGTTGGGAAGATGAAAGTAGATTTTGGTGGGATGGGCAAATGAAGAGATACAGAAATGGAAGACCAAGAAGCTGTACGCAGATGAAATTGGTAGGAGGCGGTGGTGGAATGAAATTGGTGGGAGGCAGTAGGTGGAGAAAGTAAAAATTGGTGGAGACGGAAGAGTGTAAATAATTAAGGGTATAAAAGTCAATTTACGTAGTATTTCCTTCCTAAAATAGAAAGTTTGTATTTAATTTGAAACTGCCAAAAAAGGAAAGTGTTGCACTTATTCAAGAATAGAGGAAGTATATGTAATGTGTGTGCAATCACACACACATGCATACACACACACACATATATAGAGAGAGTAGTGTCTTGTCTCTCACACACAGATATGTATGTGGGGTTAGAAAATTTCATATTTTTGTCCTATGGTTCACATTTGTAATTTGTGTAAATTTTATTACTCTGTAGAACTGATGTTGTATGACATGAAAGAAGTCTTATTCGTGCTGTGGTATTATTTCAGAGAAGTCGGGAGAAAAGCATAAGAGTAAAAGCCACAAGCATAAGGGTTCCTCTGTGAGTTCTCTTTTTAGGCTTATCATTACAAAAGTTCCTATTCTTAATCCAGTTTGCAGTTCAAATGAAAAAAAAACAATCCTTATATCTTACACACTTCATTTTGTCCCAAAGCGAAGCTATTTTTTTCCTTAGATATTAAATACATAGTTGTCCTCAGGAGTCCTCCTAACAAAGAGAAACCTTTACTTGCTCCTGGTCTGCTGCCCTATCAAAGAGTACTGATGCTTACCACTGTTGGAGTGATAATGCTACTTTATCCATCCCACAATGTACGATACATTTGGGGTTGGTGTCGGTTTTAAGAAAATAAAATATATAGTTGTCCACTCACCATTCTAAGTTTCTAGCCTCCAAAAAGTAAAAAAAGAAGAAGTACGAGTCCACAAAAAGTAAAAAGCTTAAATGATATACAGGGTTAAAGGGTGAAAGTTGACTTTTAGTGAAGTTCAATTAAGGAAAGTGTTCATATATGGGACAACCCAAAAAGTAGTGCAGCTTACAAAGTAGGACAAGTAATTACTTCGCCTGGTATTTATTGTTTGTCCTCTATTACTTTTTGTGAAGTTTTTATTAAAAACTCCATTTGCGTTGAAACTTTGGTTACAGCGAGGCCTGTATGCAGCCTTAACAATTTCAGTTATTGTAGTTTCTTATTTCTGTTTGCCCTTTTCTTCTTGAACACTTTCAGAAGTTAAAATTTGAAGAACTGTCAAAGGATGACTATTTCTTAAAGAACAACGAATTTGCAAGCTGGCTGAAGGAAAAGAAGAATATGTTTTTCATGGATTTGTCATCCGAGGCTGCTCATGAATTATTCATGGACTTTGTCAAGGAATGGAACAAGGGAAAGCTTGCAAGTGAATACTATGAGGGCATACTGACCGGCCCTCGATCATCTCATAACTGGAACATCAAGCAGTAATCCATGCAATGCACATTGCTTTAAGCCGGGATGAGTTCCACCGTTGTGACTCATCCACACGTTTTCATTGCTGCTTAGTGAGGATGAGCATGGCTTTTAAACTGAGTTTTTTTTACTGACGGTGGAGTTATGCATGGAAATCTTGAATATACATAGTATATAAATGCAGGCATGCAGCAGTGTACCTCAAATAGGGCTTTCATTAGAACCAAACCAGCCGAATCCTTAGATGGCTTAGGGAGTGTTTGCAACAGCTTCTGCTTAAAAAAAGCACTTTTGGAGTGATTTGGAAAAAGTGATTATTTGTAAAAGTTGATAGTGTTTGAGAAAAAAGTGATTTTGAAAAGTAAAAGTTGGTAGTGTTTGGTAAAATAAGTGCTTTTGGTGTATAAAAAGTGGAAAAACACTTTTGACACGAAAGTCGAGAAAAATAAAAAATTGGTAGTGTTTGGTAAATAAGTGCTTTTTTAAGCCAAAAGCTGAGAAGTGTTTTTTTTAAAGTGGTTGCAAACCAGCCTTTAGGATTGTCCACTTGATTTCATTAGTTTGTGATTGTCCACTTGATTTCATTAGCAGATGTCAAGACTGTAAAGTGGAGATTTTCACATGTCTTCCAATCCACCATTGTTCGGCTACCCATCTTGATTGTCCACTTAATTTCATACTTGATCTCACATATTTTCGCAATAAATCACACACAACTCGCTTAATACATGTCTAGTTATTAATTTATTAATGTATATGTATTATGTAGTAGTCATTGATACGCATGTTCAACGGATATAGACATGAAGTAATAATTTGGAGTGGATAAAATTTGGCCATATACAAAAAAGAACAAGAGTGAATAAATGTGATCTGCATTTCATTTTATAAGCAAATCAATATACTACTAGTAATAAAAAGAAATCACGGAGGTTTTTAAACGATATAGTATGTGAATAAGGGTTCTAACAAAACAAATACGGAGTGTATGAATTGCGTTATCATTTAGTAAACGAGTAGACTTTTATTTAAAAGAGGAGGGTAAATAAAAAATGAATAAACGATGTAATATGTGGACAAGGCTTCTCACAAAAAGTAGAAAATCAGTTGCTCTCGTTGAGAGTCGAACTCAAGACCTCCCGCTTACTAAACGGGTGCTCTAACCAACTGAGCTACGAGAGCTGTTGATTGAAGTTTCACGTATTTCGGTACTGTATAAATCATCGTCCCTCCACCGGCTGACGAAGGACAAAAAAGGAAAACGAAAAAAAGCTTGCAAAGCCCTCAACCTGGCCGCGGCAATAATCGCATCCCCGGTTTTTCTGTTTCATCTGCAGAAGCAAAATCTCTCTCCCTCTCTCTCTTCAAGCCATTGTTCGGACTTCGGACCTCTATCTCATCCAATCCGCTTTTCAGGTAACCGAAGCTCTGTGAATTGTATTTACTTCATTGAATGCAGAACTTTACGTTTTCGAGCAGTCGAGCCATTCTGGATGGGTACGAGCATGCACAACATTTATTCCATGCGTCGTTATTATGTATAAACTGGAGATTGTTACTGGAGATTTTGTAACTTTAATTTGGATAAACTGTCATCTGTTCGTTTGATATGTAAGCCAGTAAATTTCTGGAAGATAGTTACCGCTGGGTTTAGTCGCTATATTTTGTTCCTTCTTAAAGCTAGATTTGCAGGACCAAATATCATGATGAATTATCAACATGAATGCCTTATACTCCTTAATTTACAATTCCGTTTGGTTAGCATTTTGTAACAGTAGTAGTATATGCATTTTTCGGTTTGCTGTAATGCTGGCTCATTAACTTCGATATGATATATCTTGTTTGCAAGGAGAGGCATGGCTGTTGTTGGTGTGAGGCCATTTGAAAGTTTTCCTGATTTTGGCGCGATCTTCATGTGCAACAAAACAACAAAGAATGAATGTTTTGGTAGTGGGATTTTTGGACTTCCCCATCCTTTTGCTAATTTTGTCAAGGAGGTCAAAGCTGGAATGCTTTTGTTTCTGTTTGAATATGAGGCGCGGAAACTATATGGAATTTTTGAGGCTACTTCTGATGGTGGAATGAATATTATACCTAAAGCATATCGTTCATCTGGGAAGTCCTTTCCTGCACAGGTACTATTAAAATATGAATCATGCATCTATGTTCTTACTTTCAACTCCTGTAACATCATCATCTCTAGATTAAGAGAGACATAAGTGCACAAATACGGTACATTATGAAGTCATAAGTATGCAAAACTTGGTTACATGATGCTTGACTGTTGCTTTCTTCAGGTTCGCTTTCGCGTTGTTTGGAAATGCTGTCCCATTCCTGAGGACTCCTTTCGTGGTGCTATTAGTGACAATTACTATGAACCTTCCAAGTTTAGCTTTGGTTTGTCCAAGGAACAGGTAAGCATTCACTTCAACTCTGACAAATGCTTGTAATGTTGTTAAAAAACTTCTGTGTACACCCTAGTCTGACCATTGAATTTGGATTTAAGTATCTAACTTGATTTGAAGATCAGTCGCTATATCGTGGGAAATGAAGTATTCTTTTTTTGTTGCTCCATATCTTTTATATGAAACAGTAAAGTGAATTTGAATTGTTTCATAAATTTACATAAACCACAGCTTTTGAGTACAACTTTACTGCTTTTAAATTTTCAGGTTGAAAGACTTGTATGGCTGTTTCACTCTAGAAGGGTCAGAGTTGAAAAATCTCCAAATGTCAAGAATGTGAAAAAGGACTCCACTAAATCATCTGATAATATGGATTTTGGTTGTGCAGGTACTCTTGAAAAGACCAACTAATTTGTGACAATAGTTAATTTGTTTTTATGGTTGTTTATATGTTAAATCTCTTAAGCCTCTATCTAACACAAACAGTGTTTATTTCCTTGGAACATGTATTCACAGCTCAAATCAATCGGAATTCTTCATCAGGAATTCCAAACATTGAGTTCCACACAGTAGTGAACTGTAAAACTACTTCAACGGACTCATTGCAACTGGGCGATTACATACCCCTATCTGATTCAGAACATAGTGACCCTGAAAACTATGATTCTACAAAAATTACAAAGTCAAGTGATGGAGATGATCACAGTGACCCTGAACATTCCGAACATTTCCACAAAGTGAAGAAGTTGTACTGTGATACTGTTCAGGGAAGGCCGAGTGTGTTTTCAAGGTTGCAATTTGGAACCAGAGCTGTTTCACATGTCCAGAGTTTACATCTATTTCAACAGGAAGAAGGTGGCGGAAAGGAACCTGAGGTTCGTGGTCCTCAACCAGTGAACACATTAATGAAAAACTTGGAGAAGATGCATGAAAAGTGGATGAGGCAGGACACAAATCCAAGGCAGCAGAAGAAGAGGACCAATGTGTTTTCTCGCATTAATTTTCTTCCTCAAGTCTCTATGATGCATAACTTGGAAGCAAACAATGTCTCTTTCAGAAGTCCTGTAGAAGCAAATGTAAGTGCAAAAAAGAGAAGGCGTCAAGCTTGCATCTCAGACAATGGAGATGTTAAGAATATCACTGTAGCAATCCAAGTGGCAATTGGAAATCAGATGATTAGGTAAAGGGTTCACCCGGCCTGGTAAATGTGAAGCGAACATCTAACCTTCTGGACTGCACTGCAGCAAAGCGTTTGATGCGCCTTTTCTTGAAAATATTGGGTCAGTAGTTTTTTAGCTTTATTCTTACATCAGTTGCTTATTCAGTTTTAAAGCAGTGATATTTCTTTCTTGAGTGGCAGAGTCGCAGAGATACTTAGATCATGCTACATACCCTCTTCATGGAGATATTTCTTTACTTTGGACCCCCCCCCCCCCCCTCCCCCGTGTGGACGTGTTGCTGTGCATGTGTATTGTTAATGCACCAGAGATCAAGGTGGAAAAAAAAACCAATAATCTGCAGTCCACTGACAAACTGAAATATCAAGCCAGCCAAGCCAGCCAATCCATATGCGGATGGGTTTCAGTTTAAGGTTATGTTTTACTTACCGGCAACAAAACCTGGCAATCCATAAAAATTAACCGTACCCAGCCCCACCAAAACCTACCTAAGTTAATGGATTCATTTTTCGGTTTTGCACCATTTAAAACCAAACCGGCAAAGCTGAACCGAACCTACAAACACCATGTCATAGAGGCAGGTTATCCACTATATGCTATACACTTATAGGGGCTTGTAGGAACTGAGTTCAAACAACATTTTGCAACTATTGTATACTACGTATTTCCCTAATGAACATAGCCTTGCGAAGCGCCATGTTACAACTTACAAGTTCATGTCTCTTTGTGCACATGAAAGGACAATTTAATCATTAATATTAGCTATGTTACAACTTACAAGTTCATGTCTCTTTGTGCACATGAAAGGACAATTTAATCATTAATATTAAATATTTTCGTTAACAATTAACACTCTTAAATGACAACTTAATCATTAAATATTAAAATTATTAAATATATAACATCATAGTGATCACCATTAACCCTAATATATTACGGAGTATATACCTATTAAAATTACCTTTCAAAATATACTCGAATTACCTTATTTACTTATTGTCTAAATAATCATGTTTTTTGCAAAGGGAACCTTCAAACGAGACAAAGGTAGTGCGGAGTATCAATTAATATTAGTCGAACCCAAACTCTTGTGGGAGTCGTGGGACTAAGGTTTTAATGTTATTGTTGGTCTGTTGGATGCTAGTTTCCAAAATAACATTTACTAAACATAAATATAAACATGATCATAAACATGAAATAAGTATAACTGTGAATATAAAAAAGTGTAAGGATACTTATACAGAAACAAGTTAAGGTTGTCTAATACGTATGTTACGTGTATGGGTTACCATTTGTTTTTTTAAAGGGGTTAGAATTTGTTTTGAAATGTATCATATATATTAGAATATATGGCAATGTGATCAAGTGTTGGTAGTAGTTTTTGAATATCTACCTTTGGTCTATTTTATTGTTTTTTCTCCATTTTTTTTTTTACTCTAGGGGGTCTGAGGGAGGGGGCTTGGAGTAATCTGGGTTGAAACTCACTCAAGGTTTCGAACATGAGACCTCTCGTAAGGGAGAGTAGTCGGCGACCAGCAAGGCTATTTATTCAAATATTTGAAATTTTTTCTATATACAAGTGCGATTAAAAATGCAATCCACACAATTTCAATATTCAAATTGTGATACACGGATTATGAATTATTGAATTATGTTAATTTAAACGAAAGAGTTGTTCCCACATCATCTAAAGTTATGCGGTATAATATTTTATTTATACGAGTAGAGATCTCGTGCGCACCGCCCGATGGGAACTCTAGTCTGATCATGGTCATTTGGTGTTATACTTGGTAGAAATTTTTGATAATTTTTTTCAGTATGTTATTCATGAAATGCAGTTTATGCTCACAAAATTTCAGGTCAAAATTCAATCTGGAAGACAGTTAATTAAATTATTGAAGCATATTGTGCTTTATATATACATAAAGCATAATATGTTTCAATAATTTTTTAAATGATTTTTTGATTGAATTTTAAGTTGAAATTTTGTGTAATTAATTTACTATTGATGAAATTGTGCTCATAAAATTCATCAAAAAATTCCATCAGGTAAAAGACTCAAATGGCCTTGACCGGATTGCTTGAGGTGATCATTTTTCTTATTTCCTACTACAACATTGACACATTTTGTTCCTCAAGTTATATTTTAAACAAAAGCTAATTTGCAACACCAAG